ATAAGAAAAAATTGTTTGGGACTTATCATTTTTGGCACTCATTGTGCCTCCCAGAACTAATTAATAATGTGTTCCAAGGTACTACTATATATTAATAAAAGCTAACGCAATAGCAAAAAGATAACCTGTGGCATTGGTTCAACTCTGCAACTCACCAATCTTTTTAAATTTGGATCTGAGAAAGGAAGATGTTATAGCTGTGGAATAATAGCAAACATAACATGAATAATGAGCCAATAATTAGAAAAGGTAAAAGACTAAAATAGCTGAGTTACTAGAACAAGACTGAATGGGGGGAAATCATAGAAACAGAATGAATTCTAACTAAATAAAAATCACAAAGAAAAGAAGGAAGTAAATTTGAAGTAAATCAATATAGTAACAGAAAGATAGGAGTAATCAGAAAGGCTGTTAAACAACTATAAAATGGGTCAAACCAAAATGAATATTTAAACAAATATTAAAGTATTAAATGCCAGTAAGAATAAAAGAAAATTAGAGCCAAGATTTAGGGGGAACAATTAAAAAACACCAACTAAGAATGAAAAGTGATAGGAGACAAAAATATTTGAAAAGGGGTGGTGGGGAAATAAAGCCAAAAAAAGAAATTAATGCAAGAATAAAGATCACTTCACTTCACAGAATTATGGAAAGCATATGAAAAAGAGCGATGTCATAGGAATAGGTTGTTATCCAACTTTGAGGGGAACTCTGGAAAGAATTGAAGTCCACAGGTTGTAAAGGGGCCATAACCGCCGCTAAAGAACAATAGACACTAAACAACCATTGGGAATGGTTTAATTTGGACTTTTGCAGAAAGCATAGGTAGATTTATTCTCCTAAATTGAACCTCTCAATTTTATAATACTAGTAGACAACCTGTGATACCTTCAGTTATCCTTTTGGAGATATTTCCTACCAGATTCCGCAATGCCTTCAACAATAACAGGGCTTTTAATGTACGGTCTTCACTGGAAACATCGGGGTACATTCCAAGACATATTTTTTTTTGAAAACAGCATGTGTTGAACTGTATACAGGAAGTCTATGACTTACAACTATTTGTTTAGTGACTGTTCAAAGTTACAACTGCATTGAAAAAGTGATTTACAACCAGTTCTCACACTTATGACCATTGCAGCATATCCCTGGTCATGTTATCAAAATCTGGATGGTTGATTACCAGCATAATATAAGTGATTAGGACAATTCTTATGAAAGTAGATAGTTCTTTGTCTGCCACATTTAAGGCAAAGATGAATTATATGTAACTTCAATATACTTTTTGACTCTGACCTAAGTCATCTTTCACTATTGGTCCCGTTTGCTAAAATTGGCAAGAGTTGGTGTCCAATGTCATTTGAAAGATCTCAGATGTGATATATAAAAAGTCAACTTCCAGTATAGTTATGTTTCTCCCTCAATGCTGATTATTAAATGTGAATGGGAAGATGGAATCTTTAAACATGCCTAAGAATGAAGAGATTGTCTTAATGCAACTGCTTGTGTATTTTATTCCTAGCTCAGAAACATCTTGGTAACATTTCTAACATCTTTATAAGTAATGGGGAATTTATTTATTGGTTTTGTATCTTTTTAGGAGTGATACATATTTTCTAAAGTACTAAAAGGCAAGACAAGAAACAATGGATGGAAACTAACCAAGGAGAGAAGCAACTAAGGAGAAATTTCCTAATGATGAGAGCAACCAACCAATGGAATAGCTTGCCTTCAGAAGTTTTGGGTGCTCCATCACTGGGCAAACTTTTGCCTTAAATTATATAGGGCGGGGTGTCAAACTCATGTCACAGTGGCATCACATGACTTTTTCCCTCTTTGCTAAACCAGGCGTGGGTGTGGCCAGCACCTGAGGCATCCGGCCCATGGGCCAGGAGTTTGACAGCCCTGGTATAGGGTCTCCTGCTCAAGCAGGGGATTGGATTAAAAAAACCTCCAAGGTCCCTGGTCCAAGGTCCCTCCCATTATTTTATGTTCTATGTTTTAAGTTGAGGAAATGTTGCCTCAGAATTGACAAAATTGCAGATTTACAGATCAAAACTGTTAGATTCTAATCTGGCATCAGTTCAAAGAAAACTCACTGACTTCTGGGAAGAAACTTAATTGAGACCCAACTTTTCATCCACAAATCACTGTATTTCTGAACTGGAAATATGAACTGGAAGACAAAACTGCTGATCAACAATATGAAAATTTTTTCATCCTGTTCAATTAGTTGGGCCCACCTTCCTGGAAATTATGACAAAATGTTAAGGGAGAAAAGAAAGCATATTTGAATCAGCTGTTAAAGTTTGGGTTATGGAATCAAAATGAGCATTTGGCTCAAAGGGAGATTGTGGACAGCCGTCTGATTATAGTTGTAATGTTCTTTAGTTTACCATTTATATTAATAACTTGCATTATATTCTGTTTATTGTACATTGCTGGAGGCTTTTTTGTAGTGGAGTTTGCAGATACTGTTAAATACTTAGAAATTCTTTTCCATCTACAATTACTAAAGCTCATTTTTAAAATACAATACAATAGTTCTCAACTGACCACAACTGAGCTCCAAATTTCTATTACTAAGCAAGGCATTTGTTAAGTGAGTTTACCCCACTTTACAATCTTTCTTGCCACAGTTGCTAAGCGAATCACTGCAGCTGTTAAATTAGTAATATGGTTGTTAGTGAATGTGGCTTCCCCATTGAGTTTGTTCATCAGAACGTTGCAAAAAGTTGATCACATTGGACACCAGGAATACTGCAAAGATAGCAGCGTTCCAGTATTTGAGTGGTAGCCACAAAGAGGAGGGGGTCAAATTATTCCAAGGCATCAGAGGGCAGGACAAGAAACAATGGATGGAAACTAATCAAGGAGAGAAGCAACTTGGAATTAAGGAGAAACTTCCTAACAGTGAAAACAATTAACCAGTGGAACAGCTGGCCTTCAGATGTTGTGGGTGCTTCATCACTGGAGAAGAGACTGGACAATCACTTGTCTGAAATGCTATAGGATCTCTTGCTTGAGTAGGGGGCTGGACTAAAAGACCTCCAAAGTCACTTCCAGCTCAATTTTAATTCTAAACCATCATAAATATGAATCAGTTACCAAGCACCTGAATTTTGATCCCATGACCTCGGGGATGCTGCAATCATCATAAGTGTGAAAATGGTGATGTCACTTTTTTCAGTGCCGTTGTAACTTTGACTAATCATTAAATGAACTGTTGTAAGCCAAGAACTACCTGTACTTGTTAGCAGTGCTGAAACGGAACATAGCTTTAGTGGGATTAAAACTGTTATTCCGTGTTTGGTGTAGTGGTTAAGTCTGGTATAATGGATAAAACAGCAGGCTAAAATTGGCAGATGGCAAGTTGTAGTCCTGACCTAGGCACCAAGCCAACTAGGGCCAGTCAGCTCTGGGAAGCAGACCACTTCCAAAACACCAAGAAAACTGCAAGGATTTGTATAGGCATTCACCAGGAACCAATACACATAGGTGCAAGAAATTAACAGTTGACCATACATCCAACTTGATGTCAAAAAGACATCTCTAGCTCTCTTTACTCTAGAGTAAATTGAGATCCAGAACTTTTTGTGAAGACTTGGCACCTGCAACTGATATTGGAATTCATCCCTCTAAAGTTTGAAGAACCACCACAGAATATGCAAAGTGAAGGAGCATTTGTTGACCATAAATGTGACTATTTTAAACCAGTGTTTTTCAAACATGGAAAGTTCAACAGGTATGGACTTCAATTCCCAGAATTCCCCAGCCGGCAGGGTGGCTGAGGAATTCTGGGAGTTGAAGTCCACAACCACGTTTAAAAAAACACTTGATTTAAACTGTTTCCCCCCCCTTTACTTTGTATTATCCGCAGATACGAAACAACGTTTTCAAGGGAGTTCAATATTGCTTCTAAGCAGTCACGCAAAGCGTGGAAAAGATCCCCGGGGTGCATCTGGCGGTAACAACCGTTTTTGAGTAGAGGAGACCCACGAGCTTTCCTGAGGTAGCTCGAATGCTAACAAGCCTTACTCGCGCCCTATCTCCCATTCATCGTGTCAAGAGACCCATGGCCAGGGTTTTTATTCTATTACAGGGTTTTTATTCTATTACAGACCGATGGTGAGAATGAAGAACCAAAGCGACTAACAAAGCCTAAGAAACACACATCATCAAGCTCAGGAAACATCTTCATAATTTTTAATCCCGCTGCAAAATAAGAACTTCGAACGACCCAGATGGGACTCGAACCCACAATCCCCAGCTCCGGAGGCTGATGCCTTATCCATTAGGCCACTGGGTCACTCGACAAAGAGCTCTGAGAGCCGCGTTCTAAGGGCCCCTCCCGATCACGCATGACTCCGCCCACCCACGTCCGTCCTTTCCCTCCTGGTTTAGTTTTCCGTCATTAGGAAATTGGCCACGCCCCCTCCCGCTCGGTTAGGTTCGTCTTCTACCAGCTCACGCCCCCTCATCTCGCTACCCTTTTGAGTGGGTTTGGAAGCTGGCCGCGTTCTAACTCCTCCTCAAAGGTTTGCCGGCCTGAAACTGATCTACCGCCCGTCTGGAAGCGTTTACCGCTAACCGCCTATCCATAGTGTCACCACTTAAAAAATCCTGTATGTGATCATATAAACAACGAAGAACCCCCGGTAACCAAGCTGACGACATAACGGTCAATTCTACGCCACGCGGAGTTCGTCTCGGAGCCTTTGCTTCGCAAATCACCGCCCCTTTTACGCTGGGAAATGTAGTTCCGCGGGCCTCGCACTTGGGCGTTGAACATAACGATCGCGAGATCTCGGACTCACGAGAGACACCTCCCTCCTTTCCCTTCTCTCCTTCCCCCGGCCTCTCTCTCTCTCTCTCTCTCTCTCTCGGGAACGCGAGAGCTTGAGCGTCTTATATTTTTTCAAACTGGCCAATGAGAGGTTTGCTTGGACTCGAATTCGCCAATGAGAGCGTGAGGCCTCAAGAAATTTAAATCACACCTCGAGGAGACGGGGGAAGGAAAACGAGAGTGGGAGGTCCGCAGCTCCAGCAGTTCGGCGCAACGTGTTGGGTCGCTGTCGGAAAAGCCGCGCCGAGTCTACAAGGAGCGAAGGGTGCGCTGAAACTTAGGACGGTGGGGTGAGGCAGGCTTCCTTAGAGGCGTCCGAAATCGGGGAAACGTCGGGAGGCTGTGGTGGAGAAGGTTCAAAAGCCCGGGGACGGAGGAATGTTAATAAAAGAGCTTTCCAGACCGGGATGGTTCCGGTCACCCATCTTCTCTCTGCCGCCGCCGCCCGCTCGTTCGTTCGTTCGTATTTGTTACGTTGTTTCACGAAACCTTCATTTCTTAGCTAGGGAAACAGCCAGGGCACTTTTGGTTCTCCCGGGTTGGCTCATTTAGCCGAGGTTTAACTCAGTTGGCTCACTTTTCTGGGCTCGCGCGACACTCTGGTCTGTAAATTGATGAGAACCAAATAAATTGCGGTTGGCTGGTTTGGGGTGGGGTGTCTTGTGAACACTGCCGGCGAATTAGGCGTGTGTTTGGGGAGAGGATGTGAGGATAAACAACAGCGTTGCGTGTAATGCCTAGTGCCCTAAAAATTCTCTTTCGCAGTTTCAATGGACTTTCCGCAAGAGTGACTGCGGCCCCAAAGTATAAGTCCAGAGTTAAGGAAATAAGTTAAGATATTGTTGAGCTCACTTCCTTCCGAAGAGAAATTAAAACGCTATGAAAGCCAATCCCTCTTAATTCAGAGGCATAAAGTTTGAAATCGAGTCAGCTGTGTATCTTAAACGTTCTCAAACTTGAAACCGAAAGGAAAGTTTATATTTAAATACCATTTAGATCAATATTTGATTAAAATAGGCTTGGAACAGAGCTGCCTCTTAGGCTGTAAACTGCCTTTTGCCCGGTGTTTGCCAGCTGTTGGTAATTTACAAATGGATGCCAATTGCAGTTCTGCAGTCAATATAGTTGAAGGGTAATATCTTAATTTTAATTACTGGGTCTTTTTGTAGGTTTAGAGACAGATCTGTATAACAGTCGCCATGTCTACCAATGAGAATGCTGCGGCAATGGCTGCCCGCCTGAACAGATTCAAGAACAAGGGCAAAGATTCCAATGTGAGTAACTGTCAACTGGAGATACAACTGCTTGTATTTTTAAAGCAGTAGCTCAGCTTTTCAATGTATGTGTTTTCACTAGGAAATGAGGCGACGACGAATGGAAGTCAATGTAGAGCTGAGAAAAGCTAAAAAAGATGACCAAATGCTTAAAAGGCGAAATGTAGGCACTTTTCCAGATGATGCTACTTCACCTCTGCAAGAAAATCGGGGCAATCAGGTAAGTGCCTATTGTATAAGCAGGGGTGGGATTCTACCGGTTCTGTCCACTTCTGTAGAGCCAGTTGATGTGAAAAGCAGCAAACAGAGCATACCTAGAACCCGTTCTAGGTTTGCTGCTGTTTTGACCCACCCGCCTGCCTGGCCTCTTACCTGACCTTTATTTCCTGTGTTTTCAACTGCAGCTGCTTTGTGTGACACAGCTGTGGTTGAAATAGCAGTAAAAAAAAAGTGCTTTTTCAGCTGCTGGGCACCCGCGCGCAGCACTGCTCAGCTGTCTAGGCAGTTAGATGATGACGATATACATGGGTGCATCAGGCACGCATGCATGCGCAAAATGTAAAATCACCGAACCAGTAGTTATACCGGTCGGATCCCATCCCTGTTTATAAGCTTTCTGAAGATTTGTCTTTAGTTGTCTACTTTAAGCTATAGTTCTGGTTTTGCACAGGTATTTTTCCCAGTCCAAATGAAGGGGGCAGAGATTCAACCTGAGGCTTTCTGTTCACAATTATTGAGCTGTAGGCCTTCCTCATTTAGAATAACACATTTTTTATCTATTTTCATTTGACTTCTGTGGACAAATTAAGTTTGAACATTGGAATGTTAAAAGAAGGAAGTGTTTTGTTCTATTTTAGTTAAATGAAACTAAAATTAATGTGTGTAATGTAAAATTTGTGTTTGTAATGGTATAGCATTAGTGAGGTCATTTTCTAAGACTACTATAATTGTTAAACTTAATGTAGTTGTTTGAAATCTTGCCTTGTAGGTTGCTGTCCACTGGTCTGTTGAAGAAATTGTCAAAGGCATTAACAATACTAATTTAGAATTCCAGCTGCAGGCTACTCAGGCTGCCAGGTAAGTGTCACTACTAATTACATTCTGCATGAAACAAACTGCAGATAAGAGATGAAAAATTGTAACTTGTGGTTTCATAGTAACACAGGACAAGAAGATAAAAACTTGATACAGTTTTTAGCACAGTAAAAATGCATACTTATTTAATGGGTTACCCAAAATCTATTTTTATTTAGTTTTGGCAATGCAGTGTACAATCCAGAAAATTGTGACTTTGTGCAGGATATGAGCCCAACTGATATATAATGGTTAGATGTGAGTAATGGGAATATCTAAATCTTTAGGAAACAAATCAGCAAACTAATTTTGAAAACATCTCTCGGTACAAGATATTGGTACAAAATAAAGCATTAGTTGGGAATATGCAAGATACTGTAAAAGTGATAGTATATGTCATTCAGTCTATTAGTAATTGCTAGAAAACTTTGGACTTGCTATATGTGTACAAAAAGCTGTGTGAACCTCATCCATGTTAATTGCCACTAGACAGAGATTTTGTATCTTATGATGCTTTGCAACAAAAGGAATATTTCATTGTTCTGCATCTAATTGAAACTGTAGTGACCAACTTTCCAAAATAAAATATGACTAACACCTGTTGTCATGGAAATGTAAATTTTCTCTCTAAAATATAGATAGGAAAGCTAAATTTATTTCTTTTACACATAGGAAACTGCTATCCCGAGAAAAGCAGCCCCCTATAGACCAGATTATTAGGGCTGGCTTGATACCAAAATTTGTGTCCTTTTTGGGAAAAGCAAATTGCAGCCCTATTCAGTTTGAAGCTGCTTGGGCACTGACCAATATTGCTTCCGGCACATCAGACCAGACAAAAGCTGTAGTAGATGGTGGAGCAATTCCTGCCTTTATATCTCTACTGGCTTCTCCTCATACTCACATTAGTGAGCAAGCTGTATGGGCTTTGGGGAATATTGCAGGTAAGTTAGTAAAATTGGTGTGTTTCTTATAAGTAATAGTACGCAAAAAAGCCAATGGGTTTCATTTGAAATGCAAGTCATTTTTTCATATTTGTATGGTGCATAGATGCATAACTGTTTTTCCAAGTACAATCCTATGCCAGCATTTTCAACATTTAGAGCTGAGTGCGCTGTATTATATGGAACTTATGTAGCTATTTCAGAGCCTTTTCTAGAATTCATAACATTAAATGTTGAAGGCCGAGGGGATATCACTTAATATATGGGAGTTTGTTAAATATGCCCTTGTCCTTAAAAGCTTCATTATGGTGTCTAGATAGAAATTATGATTTTGTACGTTTCAATGCAACACATTTCAAGATTTTTCCCCCCAACTCTGCAATGCTACTGTTGAAATCATTTCTGCGCAGTGGCATTCAATGACTAACATCTGTGACTGCAATGTTCTCTGGCTTCTGGCTGATAGTGGCTAGTTCCAAGGGTTTTAATGCTGTTACCACTTTTCTTCTTGAACAGTTTTCTATGGCTGTTATATTATTTTTATAATGCTTGGATTGTGATCAAGTCAGCTTGTCATGGTGATATTCCTGCCCTGAATTAGCAGTAATTCCATATGACCTCTTAGTCTTAGCATTTGACACTCTATTTCTGCCTTCAGGTGATGGCTCTGCTTATAGAGACTTAGTTATTAAATATGGTGCACTCGATCCACTTTTGGCTCTGCTTGCTGTTCCTGATCTCTCTTCTATAACTGTAAGTGGGAATTCTCAGCTAAAATCTTAAGCATGAAAATCAATTTCAGCATTACTTAATCATAACCATGTTTTTCTTTTCAGCTTGGCTACCTGCGTAACATAACTTGGACTTTGTCAAACCTCTGCCGTAACAAGAACCCTGCACCACCCATTGAAGCTGTTGAACAGATTCTGCCCACTTTAGTTCGCCTATTGCATTACCATGACCATGAAGTTTTGGCAGACACATGCTGGGCTATTTCTTATTTGACTGATGGCTCAAATGATAGAATTGAAGTAGTGGTCAAAACTGGCCTAGTGCCACAATTGGTGAAACTGCTAGCATGTGGAGAAGTTCCAATAATGGTAAGATAAATTAGTGAAGGTTATGAAGTGCTGAAATTCTTTGTATAGGAGATAGTTCTGTAGTAATGTCAACTTCTTGAGAAGTGTACTTTTAATATTCTTTGGTTTAGAAATATTTTCAGTACATTCATGTTGCTCAAATTGCAAGCTCTTTGGGGTGAAAATAGTGTTCTGTTGAGATGGCTCTACCTCCTCCTCTGACATAAATTATTGAAATATCCTTGTGATTTTCTATTTGGACATAACTGATTTTTCATATCACAAAGTTCTATTCCTGCCTAAGGTATAGAGCTAACTGGCTACATTTGGACCAGTCACTTTCTCTCAACCTTAGGAAGCAGATATTAGCAAAAAGAAAAAAAAAGTAAACGTTGATATCCTGCCAAGAAAGCTGCAGGGACATGTTCAGGCTGTTGCCAGGAATTGACACTGATTGAATAGCCATGGAATTGACCAGATATATGAATTCCACAAAGGTGCCCCCTACTGTATAATGATAAGATTTTAAAATCTTTTAAAAACATTTTTACAGTGGGAATATAATTGTTCTGTAATGTTGCTGTTGCATTTTATGTTTGTGATGAAGTAGATGATCTAGGCAGCTTTTAACAATGTTCGTTAATAGTATATACATAGAATAATATTGAGAATTGCATTAAGAACTTTTGTGGGTGGGCAGGCTTGTATGTAAATATTGAGATATTGCAAGAATTTCTTCCATATTCTGTAGACTGAGCATGCCTATGGGCCACATATTGTCCCAGACAGCTCAAAATCCTCCAACTTTCAACATATGATTTATACACTTTAGCTATGTTATATTTTTATATGCAGCCCAAGACCTTCCTCTTGTTCAATATCTGAAACCTCTTTTCCAGACTCCATCATTAAGAGCTATAGGAAACATTGTAACTGGGACTGATGAGCAAACCCAAAGTGTAATAGATGCTGGAGCACTAGCTGTCTTCCCAAGTCTGCTTATTCACCCCAAAAACAACATCCAGAAAGAAGCTGCGTGGACTATGTCTAATATAACTGCTGGCCGCCAGGATCAGATCCAGAAGGTTGTGGACCATGGGCTTGTTCCATATCTTGTTAGCATCTTGAAAAAGGTAACACTGAAAATATATTTTGATATCTCTTTGCCTTGCAATGAACTTTGGCTTTAAAAACAAATGATTTGCCTCTGGGTAGATATTTTTAAAGAGAAAAATTATTAAATTCATAGTCTGCCTATAAGGTTTTATTTTCTATCTTTTTAACTTTTTGGGAAAGTAATAAAAATAAGTCTATGAAATACCTTTGCTATTTAAGAACATGGGATCTGTCACATCTGTCACATTCCTAATTTAAAAGGTATACTTAAGTAGTGTTCTTTAAATGTTTTGGCCATGTAGAACTAGAAGAAAGAAGGAAATTTGTTTGATCCTATGATACTTTAGAAGGTTCTTTTATCCTTCAGGTGGTTTTTGGACTTGAACGTGCTGTCTTGTTTTCAGCCTGATATTTTAAAGAACCAATTTGCTCTAGTGGTTAGTCAGCTAATTAGAGAAGTGCTAGGTTTGAAGATGCAAACTGCCTTATGTTGGTTACTTCTCATCTTTTTCTCATCTTTTTGAGGTTATTGCAAATAGAATAAACTTAAAACCATCAGTTTTATGTACCAAAAGCAGTGAAATGGTGCAGGAAATGTCACTGCTTAACACTGCATTTAAAAAATAATAATAAAGCGCACTAATTCTTCCATGATGTATCCAAACCAGAGTCCTGTGCTAAGTGGCTGTACAAATCAACTAAACCTTTCAAAGGGATAGCAGAAGTGTATAATCTTACAGTTAAACATGTATTTGTAAGCGTGTCACAAAACTAACTTTACAATATTAAACTTTGTCAAGGCTGTTCTATTGCTATCTCCTTATTTTCCTGTATCTTAAAATAGGGAGACTTTAAATCCCAGAAGGAAGCTATATGGGCAGTGACCAACTATACAAGTGGAGGAACAATTGGCCAGATCATTTACCTTGTCCAGACAGGTGTATTAGAGCCATTATTGGATCTACTTGTGGTTAAAGACAGCAAAACAGTCCTGGTGATTCTGGATGCTATTACTAATATTTTTATGGTAAGCTGACAATGCAAATCCACTCTGGGGGTGGGGGAGAATTTCACTACCAAGAGCTCTTAAAGCTAAAGCATGTTCAGAATATCTTATTTGTCTGAAATGAAATGTCCATTATAATGACATTATCTCTATAGGCAGCTGAAAAAATAGGTGAGATTGAAAAGCTGTGCATTTTGATTGAAGAATGTGGTGGCTTAGACAAAATTGAAGCTCTACAATCCCATGAAAATGAGCAGATTTACAAATCGGCTGCAACTCTGATTGAAAAATATTTTTCAGCAGAGGTAAGTAAATTCAAGTTGTCCTCAGTAGAGGTTGCTATATAATCAAAAAGCTACTTGATAAAAAGTAGATACAAAGTTTGTTCATGTAAGGGCTTAACATTCTATAACAATAACAGTAAGGGTGCTGCTGCTCTATTAAAAACATGAAAAGATTGGTACTTTTTATATGTACACAAGCACCAATTTGTGCTTAAAATATGACAGTGTATTAGATAGACTGTGAAGAAACTTAGAATATTTTAAGTTTTACTCTTTTATTGCAGGAGGAAGATGATAATGTTGTTCCAGAGTCTGGTTCTGATGCATATACATTCCAAATTCAAGACAGTCCTGATACCTTCAAGTTTTAAGTCTCTTGACCGTCTTCAGCCTGTTTTTTTTCCCACTTTCTGTTCTGTCTCTTGCACTGCCTTTTTTCTATGTGAAATGTGAAATAGCACTTTGTTTCAACTAAAACTACTTGAACAGATCATGGCAGTTACATATGCCAAGTGAACTTGTGTCTTCTACTTATATGTCCTTTTTTTACTCTGTAAATTCTCCAGTTCTGAATCTACTGCCTTTCAGTAGTGGATGTACCTAGATTATATCCGTACTACAGTTAGCTAGACAGAAATGGTTTGTGAATTTTCACTCTCCGTTTGGTTTGCAGAACATACAATGTTCATTAGCAAAAGCAAATCTCTCAGACGGATTTTAAAGAATACTTGTTCAAATGAAATAAAGAGTACTTGTTGAAATGAAATATTTGAGTATCATCCAAAGTATAAAAAATCTTTTTCTGGAGATGCAAAAGAATGCCTGTTATTGTGCTTTCTATTTTAAAGAGAACTAACACAGACGAGACCACTTAATCTTGCTGCATGTCAACAACTCTTTATACATGTATCAGAGTCATGTTAGTAGAATGAAAATTATTTGGGGCAGGAAAAGATGGCAAATGCAAATTGAAACATTGATTTATTGTTCTCAAAAGGCCCAATGACATTTTTATACAACTGTCTGGTCTACTGTTTCTCAACCTTGGCAACTTTTAAGATGGGTGTAGAGAGGGCCACATTCAGTTATCACTAGAGTAAATGCATTATTTTGCTCATGTAGGTGGAGGTGATTTCCCTTGTTTGGGGGAGCAGGGTTATGATATGTCAGCAGAGACGTGTTAGGCATTTTCCAATTTTTTTGACCTGCTGAGAGCAAAAGGTTCATTCTCTTCTACAAATTCAAAGTGAACTTTGCCACTTTACATTTATCCTGAAATCTGGACACAATTGCAAAATATAAATTTCTAACAGGCATCAGCTGGTCAGGAAATACTCTGAATATTTGCTTACACTAGAGAATAAAAGGCCATGTGATTGGAAAGTGTAGCCGCTTTAGTAGTTTAGGTTTGTATACTTTCATTGTTACCAAGAAAATACACTGCTCAAAAAAATAAAGGGAACACAAAAATAAGACATCCTAGATCTGAATGAATGAAATATTATTAAATACTTCGTTCATTACATTGTGGAATGTGCTGACAACAAAATCACATAAAAATTATCAATGGAAATCAAATTTAGCAACCCATGGAGCTCTGGATTTGGAGTTACACTCAAAATTAAAGTGGGAAAAAACACTACACGCTGATCCAACTTTGATGTAATGTCCTTAAAACAAGTCAAAATGAGGCTCAGTAACTCTGTGTGGCCTCCACATGCCTGTATGACCTCCCTACAACACCTGGGCATGCTGATAAGATGCTCTAGACACTACGCTGACAGACACAGCAAACTTTCTTGCCACAGCTGGCATTGATGTGCCATCCTGGATGAGCTGCACTACCTGAGCCACCTGTGTGGGTTGTAGACTCCATCTCATGCTATCACTAGAGTGAAAGCACCACCAGCATTCAAAAGTGACCAAACCATTAGCCAGAAAGCATAGGAACTGAGAAGTGGTCTGTGGTCACCACCTGCAGAACCACTCCTTTATTGGGGATATCTTGCTAACTGCCTATGCTTTCCACCTGTTGTCTATTCCATTTCCACAACAGCATGTGAAATTGTCAATCAGCGTTGCTACCTAAGTGGACAGTTTCATTTCACAGAAGTGTGATTGACTTGGAGTTACATTGTGTTGTTTAAGTGTTCCCTTTATTTTTTTGAGCAGTGTACTTATTTTACTTGTATTTAATTATGTAACACATAATTTGTACCAATTGGTGCATTTAATTTAGATTTTAGAAATTTGAAAACATTTTTTCAGCTCTCATTTTATGCATACTCATACTGTAAAAAGGCAACAATACGAAAAAAATACAAAATCTTCCTCCAAGGTAAACCCAAGTGCGGAGTAATCTTTAGAAGATTTTTAGTAATCAATGTTTTTTCAGTTGAAAAAAAATAAGTGTCCCCTAGATCAGTGGTCGCCAACCAGTGGCCTGGGGACCACTTGTAGTCTGAGAAAATTTTGGTGGTCTGCAGAGAAATGTCACCCTCCCAAGCAATTAATCCAGGCTATGCAGGAACACAAGGCTGTGCCACCCCACATGGCCCGTGGGAACCCTAGGGTAGCATCACTTGTATTGCAAACAACACAAGGTAGGGGAGGGGAGGAAGTGGGGAAGTTGCCCCACTCCCCCACATGCCTCGCCTAGCCACCGGGCTGCTTCTTTCCACTTCTTTCTTCTGCCTTTGGCTGCATGCAAGGGAAGCAGCCAAAGTCTGTCTTTCTCTCCCCCCAAACTCCGCCAGAAATGAGTCTTTGGGACCCTGCAAGGCCGCCCGGCAAAGACTCATTTCTGGCGGAGTTTGTGGGGAGAGAGAGATTTCTGCTGCTTTCCTTGCATTAAGCCAAAAGTGTCTCCCCCCCCCCCCCCCCCCAGAAAGGAGCTGGAGACGGTATCCTGCAATCCCAAAAGAATGATTGATTGGTAGGAAAGCCGGGTGGGGAATTTACCTGAAGAGTTTTGGGGCATTTTCCCAGGGTTTCTGGTCCATGGGATTTAAAATCATGAGTTAGGTGGTCCCTGAGGTCCAAACGTTTGGCGACCCCTGCCTTAGATAACACCATAGATATCTAGGCAACACTGAATTTTTTCAACTGAAAAATATAAAAATACTTCTTTGAGGAGTTTGAAGGAAACAATTTGTGGCAGGTAGAGGTATATTGATCTATATAAGACAAGAAGCACTCCATGGACTCAAGTGTTAAGCAATCTCCAAATCTCCCTTTTTGGGGAAGGATAAGGTGATGAAACGGAAGCTTAATCTAGATTCAGTTGAGTTTCAGGCTGGAATTTTTAGTTTTTGCAGAAGCTAACCAGGTGCTCCAGTGTTTCTTCAGCTTCTTTGCAGAGGTGGCATTTCTATTTTTTTCAATTCCAGTCAATTCTGGCTTTGTATATTTGCAACGAGTAAACAAATTTTCTTCAAGTGGTCCTGCAGCTGTTGGCCCTGGTTGCTCAGCTAATAACCTTGAATCCTGTAGAACACTTGTTTTCCTCTAGTCCAGGAACCTGAACACCCAGCACGCATGGTCCAAATGTTTTTAGGTTTCTAAAATTCAAATTAAATAGGCTGATTAGTAGAAATCCTTGGCCTGGGTGATTACTGATCTAGTATAGCTTCCTGTAAATTACAGGCTAAGAAAAAAGAAAAGTTAACTAGACCTTGTTTATACAAATAGCACTCCCAATATGTTATCTTATTTCCTTGCAACCTGTACTAGCTTCATTACACACTGATTCATGTTGTTTTTAATATTTCTTTTTTGGGAAATTGGTCAATTCTATCCAACCCTATTGTGATCTTTCTCTTATTTCATTCACTCTTCCACAATTCTACAATTAGATTTTCAGGCCTCTTCAATGTATTTATGCCAGTAACTTTATATTCAGTCTCCATTCATTCTTGATCCTTGCTGCACATTCTTTTGAGTTCTCAGCCAATATACAAACAATACACACATCTTTATATTACCAAACTAACATACCTCTAATGCTATCTCAATACATTCATTCAGAAATACATTCAACTTCCAAGGGAACTTTAAACTTCCTTGTCTTATTCACTATTCAATGCTGAATCATTTGCTAAGCATCCCATCCGTGAATCATTTTATTTATTGCAAAGCTTAATTGCAGTACAAGCTTGGATTAAGACTTTAAATCAATTGCTACATCATGGCTACTTTTAAGGATTTTTCTTGCCTTCAAATTTAATTTGGTCTTCCCAAATTCACAAGAATGGAGGTATCTTCTGCTGAAGCATATTCTAATACAGGGCTGTCAAACTCATGACCCGCAGGCTGGACGCCTCACGCACTGGCCACGCCCACATTTGGTTTAGGGAAGGGGAGAAAAGTCAGGATATGTCGAGGTGACGATGCCATGACATTGAGAGTTTGACCACCCCTGTTCTAACAGATCATTAATCGAGCAGATGCTTTGGCTTTCTTGTTTGGCTGAATCCATTACAGAAATACAACCTATATCAAAAGCTTAATTTTAAAGTGGACATTTCTGGGATATTTCAAACATGGACTAAAGAATTGGAATTTCCAATAAAGCAACAGCGATGGCTTCATTTCCCTAAAAATGGTCTAAATGGTAGCTACAGATTTGCGATTCAGGTTGATTAATTTTTTAAAACCCTGTATTTGAGGTATACTGGACTTCCAAATAAGATATTTGAAAAGATGGACATAAGGTTTTTTATATAAGGAATTTGGGAACTCACTGACATAGAGTTATGTGGTATAATCATGAGATGATTTTCTTTTCTAGTTTGTATTTTTAATTTTATGTCTCTTTTTTTGTAAGATTAAAATGTTTGTAAATTTCTAACAGACATCAGCTGGTCAGGAAATATTCCGAATAGCTGCTTACATTAGAGAATAAGAGGCCAGTTGATTGGAATGTATTACCCTTTAGTATTAGGGTAGCATTGCTAAAGGCTTTCTAACAGCTTTGTTAGAAAAATATACACTGCTCAAAAAAATAAAGGGAACACAAAAATAAGACATCCTAGATCTGAATGAATGAAATATTCTTATTAAATACTTTGTTCATTACATAGTGGAATGTGCTGACAACAAAATCACACAAAAATTATCAATGGAAATCAAATTGAGCAACCCATGGAGCTCTGGATTTGGAGTTACACTCAAAATTAAAGTGGAAAAAAACACTACAGGCTGATCCAACTTTGATGTAATGTCCTTAAAACAAGTCAAAATGAGGCTCAGTAACTGTGTGGCCTCCACGTGCCTGTATGACCTCCCTACAACGCCTGGGCATGCTCTTGATGAGATGGCGGATGGTCTCCTGAAGGATCTCCCACACCTGGTCTAAAGCATCCCCCAACTCCTGGACAGTCTGTGGTGCAACATGGCGTTGGATGAAGCGTGACATGATGTCCCAGATGTGCTCAGTTGGATTCAGGTCTGGGGAACGGGGGGGCCAGTCCATAGCATCAATGCCTTTGTCTTGCAGGAACTGCTGACACATTCCAGCCACATGAGGTCTAGCATTGTCGTGCATTAGGAGGAACCCAGGGCCAACTGCACCAGCATGTGGTCTCACAAGGGGTCTGAGGATCTCATCTCGGTACCTAATGGCAGTCAGGCTACCTCTGGTGAGCACATGGAGGGCTGTGTGGCCCCCTAAAGAAATGCCACCCCACACCATTACTGACCCACTGCCAAACTGGTCATGCTGGAGGATGTTGCAGGCAGCAGAACATTCTCCATGGCGTCTCCACACCCTGTCATGTCTGTCACATGTGCTCAGTGTGAACCTGCTTTCTTCTGTGAAGAGCACAGGGTGCCAGTGGCGAATTTGCCAATCTTGGTGTTCTCTGGCAAATGCCAAATGTCCTGCACGGTGTTGAGCTGTAAGCACAACCCCCACCTGTGGACGTCAGAACCTCATACCACCCTCATGGAGTCTGTTTCTGACCATTTGAGCAGCCACATGCACATTTGTGG